CACGCTGCGGCCAGGCCCCACTGCGTGCTCGGGTCCTTAGGTAAACGCATTTGGGAAAGTCCCGTTCATTAGTGTAATCGTGAGGAGTCGAGTCACTGTGTGGCACTAATGGGTGGCGCTGTGTCCTAAGGGAAATGGCAACATCAGGCAGCGTCGGACCCAAGGCAACGCAGGAGCTGCTGGGAATTGAGGCGTCGCTGCAGACAGAAGCCAGCTGGCTTCACGGACATGCCTGCCGAACATCAAGTAAGGAACAGCTTTGTTCAAGACGGAGGTTGCGCAGTTTTATCACCTTGCCCTCAAGCTGTCTCGTACTAGGGTGTCATTTGTAGAGGGCACATGACTCAGCAGTTTCCCAGAGATCCTTTTGCAAAGCAACGCAGACCCAGGAGCAGCCCCAGGAGCACCCCCATGCATTAGGCTTTGTACTTTAGGTGGAGCTTCAGGAGTCCTTGGGGCGACTGTTGTCACGATCAAAGTACAGAATAACCAAACTTGTGTCAGAGGTAAATCATTGACCTGGGTTTGGATGCAGCAATGGTAGAGATGAGACAGAAGCTGCAAAGCCCATAGAGAGGGCAGAGCATGAACATGGAGCATCCACCTGCACCCCGAGTACCAGTTCTGGTGCATCCCTGGTGCCACGGTGCCCCCAGAGCCGTGCTGGCTGCGCAGCTTCACAGGTGCACTCTGTGCCTTCCGGGGCACTGATTCTCAGCTAGGGCCAGTGATCGGTTACTCCCTGTGGCACCGCTTGGTTGCAGAGGTTGATAACCGTGTCTCTGAGCTACAATTTGAAAAATAAAGTTCAAGCAAACCAGCAGCCACATCATTCAAACTTCTAATAGTATCAGGGACACCCACGGCATCACCTTCTGCCTCTCCTCCTGTGCTGGTGCAATCTGCCAGGTGTGTTGCCGAGATGTGGTTCCCACTGCAGGCCTGGGAGCTGAGAGGTTGGTGCTACAACTCACTGACCCTAAGCAATAAGCCATGACTTCAGGGAGACGGTTTTGTAGAAGCCTGATCCGATGTCAGTGCCCAGTTCCAGACCCTCGGGCATTAGGGAAGGGTCACGCAGACCCAGAGCTGCCCTTTTGAAAGTGCAGGACCAGGTCTGGCCAGAAGGTAGCACCTGGGACAGCCACTGTGGCTGGTGAGAAAAGGCTGGCATGCTGAAAAGGAACAAACCAGTGTGTCCAGAAGATAGGCCCGAGAGAATGGCACTGCTGTCCAGTAATTCTGTGTTGCTGTTATTTGCAGCCCTGTCAGAAGAGCCTGGCAGCTTAGATGTCTTGTGCAACACAGAGGTAAAGACTCACCCAGGCTGCCTAAAGGTTTTATCCCTGAACAAAGATATGACTCCACATTGCATCTGGTATTTTCTGCTTTGAGTTCAAAGAAGATTTTGTGAAGCTGTTCAAGAAGTCCTTGCGCACGCTGCCCTCCGTCGGCCTGCCTACACTCCTGGCCTACAGACCCGAATCCTCCCGAGAGAACACACAGACTGAGGTCAGTCAGGGGTGGGTGTTCCCCACTGTGTGGCTTTGTTTATTTTAATTCCTATGATTGCCATGCAGGAAAAATAAAACCAATACCCTTTGCCAAGCCAGTGCAGGAGTTCTGTTATGAAAGGGTTTTCTTTTGCGAAGCTGTGGGAACGATGCTTGTTGTGCACACCTAAACAGCAAGAGGCTGTAGGACTTCTCTCCCCACCACTGCATCCTTGTGTTGAGAAGCTCCTCACAGATTTTGCCCTTTGTCTAAAACAGAGACACAAAATTAGTCTAAGTCAGTCCTAGGTATACAGTCAAAGGATACAAGCAGCACAGAGTTCCCCATAACCCTTAGCAGAGTAAAGCCATCAGAGAGAGTTATTACTCAGTATGAGGTGGGGAGCAATGGAATTTCTGGGAATTAGACTCTAGAGAAGCCAGGTGTTTCAAATTCATGCATTCAGAAGAGGCCATGAGTGGAAGTGGTGAACAGGGAGTACAGTAGCTGGGGTGTAAGCGGGGCGGTGCAGGTCCCAGCCGGCGGGATGGCTGTTGCGTGTGGGGCCTCGGGAGCAGAGCCCTGAAGCGTGGAGTCCAGCCGCCCGCTGCGGGAGCTGTGTCGTCTAGAGCTCGGCTTCAAAACTTTTTCAAAAAATGAGTATTTCTTTTAGAATATCTAGTACCCATCCTCAAGAGACATCCTGCAGCAGACGTGATTTGTACCTGCTCAGATATGCTCAGCTCTTTTGTCAATAAATCTGTTGCTGGTTCTTCGTGAAATTCCCCACAGATTTTCCAGTGCAACAATCTGGGAACTTTTACTCTCCAAAGCTCTGATGATTGTCTTTGAAAGGGTTAATACATCAGAGGGCTCAACTATAGAGTCCTGCATGCTCTGAAGCTTTCCCTCCCTCGGAAGCATCACAAATTGTACAGTTATTCCATTTCTTTGAGGGGATTTCTTTATTTATTTGCTACAGCTTTTCTTTTGGTGGTTTCTGAACCTGGTGGTTTGACCCAAGGTGTCACAGACACAGACCTGTTCTAACAGATTCATAGGCTGCACCTTGAGCAGAGCTCTTTCCTCAAGACAAAGCGAGGATTTGCAAGGATTTCCCTGTGTTCTCTCTTCCTGCCTCCCCTTCAGACGGAGGAGGACTCTGCCCCGAGGTGCGAGTACTGCGGCAGCCTGCTGGAGCCGTTCCCTGCCGCCGGGGGAGAGGCCTGCCTGCCCCCACAGGGCGATGAATTGGTAAGCTGGTGGGCAGGTTAGCGAGCATCTGCTGCAGCAGTGCCTGCTCTCACCACAGCACCACTCTGCTGCCATCCAGAAGTTCTGCTGCCAGAGCAGTCGGGATCTCTATGAGTTCATTGTGAATGAGAGGAGGAACCATGAGGCCACCTGGAGCATTCCTGCTGCCATCAGCCCCCCCAGATCCCACCGCACTGAAGACAACAGGCTGCTGTCAAAGGAGTTGACAAAGGAGAGAGCACACCAGAATTACTGTGACACAACCACTGGGAGAACTGGGGATCGCGTATGTACAAGAAACAGGTGACTCCAGAGGGAAAAAACACGTTAAGAAAATGAAACTGCAGCAAGAGGGAATGAAAGAAGAAAAAAAATCTACTTTTGATAATAGAAGTTCATATTCTGTCTGCACCCCCTTGGCTTTTCTTTTAGGCTGTATTAGAAGGTGGGGAGGTATGTGCCAAGTAAGGCGTTAATTCTACTGCTGACAGATGCATATCTGGAGATGGGTTGAGCCAAAACTAACTGCAGCGGGGGGCAGGGGGTAATACTGGGGTCTAACTTCTCCAGGTGCTGAAACAAACCTTGAGTTTGTGTTTCTCTGTTTTGCTGCATAAACTGTGACATACATTTGGATTCCGATTTCCAGTCACAAGAACTCTACTGGGCTGTTTCACAGGAGGCCCAAACCTTACACAAGTATCTAAGCCTATGGCACAGACTTAAAGAAAAGTAAATCAGCATACCTGGAAGGAAACCCCAAGTTTCCTTGGAGATCCTTTGCAGTCCAATGGTGCGAGTACCTTATATTACATACAGAGCATAAATCAAAGCCACTGTCAGGCAGTGCCAAATTTGTAGGAAGCTAGATAATGGTGAAAATATTCATGGAGATGGGCTGTTTCCTTGATCTTGTGAGCAGATCTTCTCTTTTACATAAAATCTTGGTACAAATCCATTACAATGCTTAGCTCTGCTGTTGATGCCAGTGAAGCGGACGCCATTGCAATCATGGAGTCTGTCCACTGGAATCTCTGTATGGGAGCAATTCCTTTTTGCTGAGATATTGTTATTCCCGTGATATTCCGTTGCCTCTGTTACTTGAAATTACACAAGTGAAGAGAAAATCAGGTTCAGAAATTTGTGTTCCTACAGCAATGATATCCAGTAGTTGTGGTTTTCAGAATGGGATGCATGAGGTGGACAATGGGAGCACTTTCATTTTCCAGGCAGCAGGAGAGACAAGTGGCCAGAGAGTCGGCTGTCCGGGCAGCAGAGCCCCCCGGTGCAGCTGAATGTGAGTTTGCATTTCCTTATGTGTTTACCTGCCTATTTATTACAACAATGAATTCAGTGGAGTTGATTGTCTCTAATGCTCTCTAATTGAACAGGATTTATACAGCAACATGCTAGTTCCTTGTCAGTTGTGCAATCCCATTAAATTAGATACTGCCACATTAAATAGTCCACTATATGAAAAACCCAAAGCAGTCACATTCCCTTTGCACAGAGGATCCTTGTGCTGTGACTCACAGTATTTACATTGGAATGTTTCAGCTGAGATGCACAGAAACAGACCTTAGAGAATAGTAAGATGGCAAAGCCAAGCCCTTGGAAGGTAGGAACTGCCAAAATTGGGGCGATTAATGTTTTGCCTAATGAGGTGAACACTGCACTAACTCCTAGCCCAAGCAGTGGATGACTGAGCAGCCCTTTGGATCAAGCTATGAAAGCAAAGGCACTCTGAATAAGAACAGATGAACTGGATTTACCTTATGGGTGTATTTCCACAGAGGATGGCAAGGCATGGATGCTGCGGCACCACGGATTTCAGATCAGTCCAGCAGAGCCAGGAGCGCTCACCAAAAAAGTCATTCTGGACTCACACAGATGCATATATACGTGACTGAAAAAACTACAGCTCTCTTCATAATCCCGTTCTCTGAAATAGCTGAACACTTTGCACTGTCCCTGTTAGACAGAAAATACCCCTAGACAGACTTCCAGGATGGAGACGTCAGCTAGAAGCTCCCACTCCTGCCAGCTGCAGCCTTGCTGCAGAGGTGCTGGGCAGCCCCGTGAGCGCTGCCAGCCCTGCTCCACGCACACCCCCTCCCTGTCCTCTCCAGGTTTGAGCCAGGCCGGCACCATTTCCTACCTGCTTTCTCAGGAGCCCCCATCACCCACGGGCCGGACACTGATGCCTGGTGAGAAAGCAGCAGAGCCTGAGGAGGAGCCCATCTCCTGCAGCATCACCTGCTGTGATTTTACCCTCGTGGGTGGAAAGGTGAGTGGCTTTTTCCGGGTGAGTCCGCGCGCCTGCCTGACTTATGGGGCAGCAGGTGCAGGGCTGCTCTCACCCATTTGATCTTTTCTTATTCAATCTTAGGTAGTGAAGAATGAATTGTTGGAAAAATACTACAAACATGGAGGGAAGTTCCTCACCATGTTTCCAGATGGAACAGTGCAGTTACTGTATCCTTCAAGGGGCTCATTTGCCTGCATTAGTCCAGGGCTGTACCTGTAATTTTAAGCAGGTCCTTGTCTGCTTTATCACCAAATACCCCAGTCCACCACTCGCACTCGCTTCCACAGCCTGAAAAAAAGCAGTAGCGAACCCGCTTATGCAGCTCTTGGAGTTTTTCGGATCCATGCAGCCCAGGCACCCCTGCCTTTAACACCCAGTTTAAGAAGCACGCGGGCCCAGTGCCGAGACCCATTCCCGAGCTCCAGCCACCCGTGGAAGGGCACTGCTGGCCCCACAGGCTCCGGCAGTGCTCAGGCCTGTCCTCCTTCCCCCAGGGACAAACCGACACAGCGTGCCCCACCAGCTCTGCATGGGCCGAGTCTCCATCCTGTGGGCAGGAGTATGTGTGAAGACAAGCTGCAGTTCACGCAAATAGCTGCTGTTGAGACACGTCCAAGTCAGGTGTCAGGGGCAAGGGCCTTTTTTTCCCCCTGGTTGGTTGTTTTTTTTATTTCTCTTTGGGAGAATAATACCTGCCCCTGTTTTCTGTGCTGTGGTCCAAGCTGAGCAATTTGATCCCTTCACTTTGCCAGGCTTCTACAATCAAGAATATGTCTTTAAAGTCAATTTGCTCAGCAGTTCTGTCTGGGTCATTAGTTAGGAAAGAACAGAAACGACTTCTGTACCTGACTGACCTTTTGTCAGTATGTGTTCAGGCCAGAAGAGCACTGGCCACATCCCAGGTAATGCTGGCAGCACCACCATTCAGCCTTCAACACAGGGAGCTGGGTAATGCATCCATTTTTACACTCAAAACGGCACTCTGAAATATTTAGTATGTAATAATAGAGCAACCAGACAGAGATTATGAGCACTTCACCTGATGACAGCTATCCATCTGGAAATCTGGCAATCATTGTTGTACGAGAGAAAAACCAGCTTATTTGCATAGCGCAGGAGGACAAGCCGAGCGATGCCAGAATACAAGCAGTATTTAACTCCAGTGGCAGAAGTACCTGCTGTTATCCCAGTGGAGCTGTGTGGTAGGTCCATGTTGGTCAGAGCACCATGGGCCCTGCTTCAGGTACCTCCCAGAATAGTAAGGCTGCCCCAGCCATGTCTGGACATGGGGTATTAGATCCCAAACTAGCTGTGCCTCAATTCTGTCCCTCTGGGGAACGAGGGACACGGGTTGTGGGAGCTGCAGCATGCAGAGCTTTGAATTTTTCTCTTTTAGGATAAACATGAATGTTCAGGGAGGGCAGTATTTTGACCAAGCAGGCAGCAGGCTGAGAAGGTGGACGTGGCCAAACAGTGTCATGTCATCAGGACCCCAGGTCCCACTGAGCCCCATCTTCATCTCCCTGAACCAGCATGTGGGGGTCAGGATCCTGGGCCAGGACAAAATCGTTATTTCCTTCCTCGCCATGGGGCAACAAGCAAAATTCAACGTGGGAACCAAAGTGCAGGTACGTCTCAAGCACACAGGCAGCTCCACATGTCGCTGCTCCCTACAGCAGGAGTGGGGTGGTGAGGGAAGCCCTGGTCCACGGGAGAAGCGTGCTCATCCTGCAGCGGCTGCTCCCCGTGTTGCCCCATTTGTCTGCTGGGATCAACAGAAGCTCCGACGCCCCGTCCGACCCTGCTGAGGCTCTGTTGTTACCATCCTCTGCTCCGCAGGCAAGCACCGGTGGCCGGCTGCCTCCCCCGGCCCGGCTGGGCCACGATGAGCTCCTGCTGCTTGCCTTCAGGGTGAGGATCCTGCAGCTCTTGGATAGACTACGCGGGTGCTTGAACTTTCCCTCTAACGAGCAACGGGACAAAATCAAGCCTCCAGCCTACCTCATCACACAGACTTTAAAGATCTTACAGCTGTGTGCATCTTCTGGCGTAAGCGACGAGCTATGCAGCTCAGTCAGGGCAAAAGTAAAGGCTGATGTGTGAGCAGCATGTGTGTAGAGCAGGAGGAGCCTGATACACTCCACACCGCTGCAGCCCCCGTGCGCTCAGTGGGGTTTTGGGTTTTGGCATAGCCCTGCCCTGCGGCAGCCCGTGGCCACTGGCACAGCCCCCCGCCTCCCGGGGCCACCCTACCCCATGGGATCTGCTCAGCCCCAGACCACGTTTTCTTGTCGGCCCACACTGAAGTGCCTCTTGGCCACGGGTGCACAGAGAGGGGCTTCGCCTGGGGCAGAGTAAGCCAGAGCTCAATGGCAGTGTCTTGCTCCTGAGCATCCTGCCTGCTGTCTGCCGTCAGAAACCAGCACAGGCTGACCCGTCGATTCAGCCTGTGCATGTCCCGCAGAGATAAAGCAAACGGGGCACAGCTCAGCCATAAATAAATGTGCCTATGCGCCTTCATTTTAAAATCACATGGCTGCATTGCACAGGAGGGGAAAGCAAAAAGCAGCAACTTCAGCGGCAGGGCAGCACAGGGGTATCTGAGCTTCCCACCAGCCCGGCAATGCTGCCTGTCAGACCCTCCTCCACAAAAGGTGGGTGCACAGAGGAGAAACTTTTTCAGGAATAGCTAACACCCAGAAAGCACAGAGGCCCAGGAAGCCCCGTGCTGAGGGTTTTTGGAGGCCAGGAGGTGGGAGGGTAAAGGGGAAGCCACATACACTCACCTGCGGCCTGTCTCCTGGGTGCTGCTGGAGGTGGCTTCCAGGCTCAGGACACCTGTGAGCCCCAACAGCCCAGCTGGGCTTAGGCTTTACTTTAGGAAGTGCTAAGTTCAGACTAGATCAAGTACTTCTGGTTAAAGAACCTCAAATACCACGTGTTGATGTTTGTCAGCTGGTTTACAGGAAGGCTGGCGGTTATCACTGCTCCTAATGACCATGAAGCCCAAAACAAATCTGCTCTGTGCACCCTGCAACCCAGAGCAATCAGACACAACCAAACTACTACCCAGCCTGTGTCACCCACCGAAAAAGTTCCTGGTGCACTCCAGGGACATCAGCAAAGGTTCTCACATGCCTGACTGACATACCAGTAAGTCATCCTGCTCAGATGGGAGGAACACTGGGGACAGCCAGCAGATTGTGAGCAATGATCACCACAGTGATGCCATGAACAGCTCATGAAAAATCTACACATCTATTTTCTAACCTGTCTGAAGTGTACAGTTAATGAGAAATGAAAACTCTATCCACACAAAGAAGTTTTGATCGATCTGTTTCAAAAGAGGAGGCACAAATTACCTGAAGAGATGATGTCATCACAGTCAAAGCACCCCTGAGGCTGTTGCCTTCAGTGGTTGTGATGAGCCACAGCTGGCACTGACTCCTCTCAGCTGGGTGGGCAGAACGTGGTTACCTGAAACATTTCTAACATCAGCCCCTAAAGCCTCAGGGAGTGTCCACAATTCTTAGCATCCATGACAGCTGCTTCCATCACAGCTCTGCAAATCCCCTTCTCACCAGAATTATTGTCTCAACACAGACATCTCCCTCTCCATCCAGAGACAATGTTTGGCAATAAGGATCCAGGAATCACTTGTGGCTGGTTTTACAAGGGGTGAGACTCTGTAGCTTAGAACAGACAGAAAATGGCACAGGAAGCAGGTGCTGCAAGGAGCGAGCCTCCCACCCTGCCCCCAGCCCAGAGCAAATGCAGCTGGGAGGCACGATGGTGAGGAGGAACCTGCCGGAAGCCAACCTGAGGAAAGCCCCCAGCCCTGTGAAAGAGCATTTGAGACCCAGGGAAACCCCCAGCCCCTTAACAGGAGAGGTCTAGGACCCAGTGAGCTTCCCCAGGTGCAGTGGCACCCAACCTCCCACTGCAGCCGAGTTCTGAGGGGCACACAGGGGAGGAGAGGAAGCTCTGCGTGTTCCTGCCAGAACACGGAGGCTGGCAGGGGCTTAAACAAGACAAACACCAGAGTAATGATTTTGGAAAGTAGGCTTTTTATGCATTTTTTTTTTCAATTGCAATTCTGAGAATATCCATCAGTGACTCAAACAAGGTACTTCACACAGTAAATGAGAACTCTTTATTTAAATTAACTCCCTTGGTTTCTGTTTAGGACAGTAGAAGAGCCCAGCTTCTCACCTCTTCAGAACGGTCAAGGAAAAGCCTCCCAAGCTGGCCAACACAATTTAAAAAGCAGTTGATTTTTACTTTTACTGAAGTCACAAAGTGATGTAACTACTCTGTATATAATTTGGTTCATATAACTTAGTATATAACGCACTGTTCAACTCTGGCATATATTTTGAAAAATATACAAACCTGCTTTTACCACATTAGAGATATTTGATAGACAGCTGTCAATTACTTACGACAATACCAGACACTCCTGTAACTTCATTTTAAACTACAAAAAGAACATAAATTCATATAAAATACAACGGATTAAACAAACTTTTTTTCCCAAGGAAAAATTAGGTTATCAACTCCATCTGCCATTGTGTGAAACATGAATATAAAATAAGTTACCATTAGTAATGCCTGCATTGCTGAGCTATGAACTGGTTGAATGAAATCTTAAAAAAACTATACAGTATTATTGCACTCCATGACTGTGCAGTATCAGGAACAGGCCAGCACTGAAAGCAGTCTTTCATTAAGCTTTTTTCAGGAGGCACGACGTGGCTGCGAGAGAGGCATCCAGTCTGCACCAACAGCGAGCTGTCTTCAGTGCAGCCCTTCATGGGTCCGAGCCACGCGGCCTTTGGGAACTGCCACTTAATGCCTGCAAGCGGAAACACGTGTTACAGCCAGCAGCACCAGCCCAGAGCTGGGCACTGCAGGACAACAGCCCGCCAGGCAGGCTCTGGGTGATGCAACCCCAGCTACAGGCGCTCTCTCGGGGCTCATAACTCATCCCGAGAGTGCTGTTATTGTTTCGGTCCAGGAGACTGACCCACAAAGTCATCAGGTCTTGCCATTGCTCTCCTAACCTGTAGCGATACTTCCCACATGGAGACAACTGAATGGGGCTTTTTGCTGCTGTTACTTACATTCCATTAAATAAAGTTAGACCTAAGAACACTCTTACCATGCTTTGTAAGCTTATAAGTGACAATCAATCTACTCTGCAACAAAAAACTGCCCAAGACTGTCCAAATCCACATGCATACGCTGCTGGGCTTCAGCACGCCTGCCTGAGCAGTACAGGAAATGCCAAGCTTTTCAATACTAAACAGTACTTTAAAAACATAAACCAATTCATAATTAAGATGACTTTTTTTTCTGAATTATTAGGACAAACCAGACTTAACTGAGCAAATGGAACATGCCTGCAGGAATCAAAAGTCGAGTGGTTCCCTGCACAAGGACTTTGTGGCAGCAGTCTCGTGAAGCTGCATGAGCATCAGTGGAGAGAGAGATCAATTGGGCAAAAAATGAGGGGGAGGGGGCAAAGTCTGAGCTGTGAAGCAGTGAGGAACCAGTTACAGCATGTGGCTTCCCACACGGAGCGAGGCCTCCCACACTGCTGACACGGCTCAGGCCCCTGAATGTACAGATACCTCCACGTGCCACATTCTTCCTCACATAAATACAAACGGGCAGAGGAAAAGTCACGCACAGCAGAGCTCCCAGGGAAACCTCTGCAGGCGTCTGCACAGAGCCAGGTCACTGACTGCCACAGCTGGGACCAACAGCACAGGGGCTGTCACCACAGGGGGTGACTGTCGATAAGGCAGCGCCAAGAAACCAGACTCCCAAACCAACATGTGCCTCTGCCAGAACTTGCACCACAGCAGATCAACACATCACTTCAGGGAAGTCTCCCAGGTGCCAGCTGCTAATCTGTGCACCAAGACAGTCTGTCTGCAGCACATGAAGCTCCTATGAAGAATCGTAAGCAAAACGTTTTGAAAGCCACAAGTGACAAGAACATGAAAGTGGTTTGTCATCAAACAGATGAGCATGGATGTGAACACTCTGCTCCCAACAGTCAAGGAGTGTTTGCAGAAGGCTCCAACAGTAGAGCACAAAGAGGGGGGCAAGGAAATGTTCTACTTTCTAAGGTCATGCAGTTCAATCAGGCTACCAGTCACAGCAAAAGCCTCTGCACAGACATTTTAAGGCATGTAACACCATGTTTGCTATTCTCTGTCCACCACAGTCCACTTAACTAAAGGCCCTCTGCACACAGTAACATCTTTTCCCATCCAAAGGAATGCCAGCTTCCAAATCTGAAATGGGCAGAACACACCCCAAAACAAAACCTCCCACCAAAGCAGCACCTCTAAAATGATACGGGTCAACTGACTTCAAGTCACTGGAGCTGCTGCTCCATTAAAACCCTTTTAAATGAAGAGATACACGACTGCCACATGCACTGTGCAACATGCAGCCCCTTCAATCCGTGCAGACAGGCAGTTGGTGACTGGAAGAAGACTTACAAGAAGTTTCAGTGCTGATAGATGGGGCTATGATCGATGATGAGGCATTGACTCCATGTGCACATTGAGCTTCATTTCGTTATCAAGGATTTGTACAAGCTGCTGCATGGAAGGGAGGTGGCCAGACTCTAGCTTAGACCACACTGGAACATCTACCACAAAACACAGGGAGGGGAGAAAGGCACCATTACATTGACAAAGTCAGAAAGCATGTAGGGCTCATTTAAACACAAAATTTAAAAGCTCTAGGAAGCTATACAAGTTGGTACTATTTTATATAGAGGAAAATATCTGCATCAACAATGCTTCAAACCTCTGGCTACGCTAAAACCCAGCCTCATTAGGAGAACAAACAGTTTCATGCTTCTATTTCCAAGTGCATCATATGGATCTAGAAGTTCACAACATCCATTGATGATGTCTGAAAATAGGCTAGTGATTGGCAGAACAGCACACCGGTTTTTTAAAACATTGCCCAATCTTTGACACTTGTGAGTCTTCATCTCACTCTGCCCAACATCTAAGGCTGCTTACCTTACATCAAAAGTTCCACTTAACAAGGCCTGGCTTGGAATGTTCCACTCAAAGTAGCTGCAACTGCTACTCCTGTCCCCCCACCCCCCAAAACACAAATGGCAACACAGTCCATAAAGACTTCAGGGTAAACACAACATTAATTTCTGATGTTGACAAATACTCCCTCAAATCCCCCTCACTGCTACAGCACTTTATGAACCCACAGTGAAAAATGCAATGGCTATTACCCACACAAACACCAGACAGGAGCCACCTTGTCCCAAAACTCAGCCCAGAAGCTCAGGGAGGTCCAGATGTGACTGCCCACTCCTAGAAGGCTCTGTCAACTCTCACCTGTGATTCAGCACACTTATTCCAAGCGACTCAGAACTACCCTAAATTTTTACATAGTTACTCCGAAAGATATGTAACTGATGTCTGTGTAAACTGCTCTATAAGGCTGCCATGATTGTCATCACTTATTGGGGTACCTAACAGCTGAAGATTCAAAAGGGATGGCAATTACCATACAGCATCCCGTTCTGAAACACGCCACCCCTCACTCTGCCAGCACAACAGCTCTCACCAGTCAGGTGCACACGGACAACACAACTCCTCAGACGGGGAGTTCTCAGCTCACCATTCAAGGTTATTTCAAATGCGCCCGTGGACATGCACTGGTTCTCAATCATGTTGCTCAGGAAGAATACCATCATACATGCATAAACCTAGAAGAGAACAGAGAGAACCCCAACATGTCAGCCACTGCTTATTTTAGTTGCCCTCAACTACTGCTGGAAGCCTACAGGTGACTTGGAATTCCTCTCTGTAACTTATCAAGCAACCTTTCAACCACACAGACCGCTCCCTTTCATCCTCTTTTTAAGAAGACTGTGCACAGCACCTTCCCTGGACAGGTATTGAGACAGTTCTGAAACCACCCAACTCACAATCCAGCTGCCCCCCTGCACAAAGGGCCAGGCTCCCCAGCAGCCTGTGGGCAGAGCAGACGGAGGTGGCGGCAGCGGCGTTGGCAGGGCGACGCTGCAGCTGCTCCTGCCCGTCGCATCACTCCGACACCAGCAGCAGAGCGGCTCTGCCAGCTGCTGGCTCTCAAGCCAACCACTGGAACTCTGTGTGTGGTGGTGCCCCGGGACAGAACGATGGGAGCAGCAGCGAGGCAGCACGCCCCGCACCGCCAGCACCCCTGCCCCGCACCCGCGGGCAGGCCCACAGGCTTCGCTGCGTGGG